AAAAACAGGTGGCGGAAATGCTCAAACAACAAATCATTTATGATATTGCTGTTGAATTATCAACAATATGTGATGGGATTGGTGATAATTCTTCGCTTAAAGATGAAGAGGTATAGTATCCCTTAAGTTACAATAAATACAATATATTACACTTTATGCAGTGTTTATATAGTTATCTAATATTGAAATTATTTAGATTCTTGTGATGATGGAGAATTTACGACGTTTAGTTTGGAAGGTAGAATCATTAAGTGGAAAAAATTGCCTTTCATCAGAAACAATCAATGATAATGCATTACCTATAATTTCTAAAGAAGATGAGGATAATTTATCATCAGTCTCACTAAATTTTGAAACTGAACAAGATAAAATACAATTAAATCTGACAAAATTAAATCAAAATATTAATCGATTTCAAATTGTAGTGACGCTAATTTTGGTTCTAATGACAGTGACGTGGATTCAAATATTAATTGTAATGATACAAACCCAAACATTAATTGCAGTGACGTAAACCCGAATAGTGATACTATAGATGAAATGCTCCATAATGGATTGAATACAACTGCTATTGGTGATGTTGGCAATGAGAATGAAATAATTTTTTACATGTTTCCTGTTAAACAAGACACACCGCTTGGTGAATGGATGTTGGGTAAGTTTAAAACATTAAAAAAGATTCATATTACAAAGCCTTTATACAAATATTAATTAATTTTCAAATTTTAATTAATGCTATATATGTTTTTACTGTAGATACATTGGCCCAACTATATGCTTTTATTAAATGCCTTAGATCAGGGTTACATCAATCCATTTTGCCTAATCGAAGAACTGCGAAGATGCAGCAGCAATCAATGGACCTTCTTCATCGTATAGGAGATGCTACAATTATTGGTTTTTCTGATCTAAGATCAGATGAAAAATTGGAGTATTTAAATGCAAAAATTGAAAATTGTACATTAATAGATAATTCGAATGTTGTAAATTGTGCAATGATAGATAATGATTTGTTACTTGATCCATCAGTATCATCATTAAAGAAAGCATCATCAGATTCAATAAATGATGTTGTAAATTCAAATAATATTCCAGATAATTTAGCACCCACAGCTCCTGTTTCAATTCAAAATGTACAAAATGATGAATTGACCGCTATTCAATTGATTCTGTCACCAATGTCTATTATATCAGGACTTTCATTTGCATCTCAATGACAAGAGCGACAAAAATGTCTTTATCTAGTTTTTCGTATAGTGGTCCGTCAGCTTCTCGATCTCGCATCCCATACAAAAAACTAGACCCAATACGTCGAAAGACAATCAAATCATTTAAACAAGGTGCAAAATTACAACTTTGAAATATGATCCAATCATATTACAAACAATGGAAAAAAGGTAGTTTAACTTTATAAATTTTATTTAAAAAAAAAAAAGCTTTACTGGTTTATTCCATTTTAAATTTTTTTTTTTTTAAAGATTTAGGAATTTTAGATTTATCAAGAAAAGATTTACGCCGAAAAGCAATGGAAACCATTTTTAAACCTTTTGAACAATTGGCAGATAACACTCTTTACGGTCGAAACCTTCGAAAGAAAGATGATGGACTAGTTGGAGGAGTGAAAAATATAATTATTCAATATCCGAAATATATTCAACAAAAAGAAGCAGAAAGACAAAAGGTCATTGATATAGAAGATATGATTGAAAAGTTTCTTATTTTTCAAGAAAGAATGATATTAGATATTACTATAGAATGAATTTCTTCACATATTTAATCATATGTAATAAAATTATTTAACAATTTGTAAATCATTTATTTTTAAAACTCATCGTGATTATAATACAGCCTCCAAAAAAATCAGATTTATAATACGCTAACTCTAACATATACGAACTTTAAAAATCACGTGTCAGTGACATTTTGTGGGAAAGTCCCAATCGGCATTTAAAACATATAAACAGATCGACATGGACGGAAGATCACGTAAAAATTATAATGCGTATTATAGCTTCGGACACTAACAGCACCTGTTTTCCTAGTTTTTATATAGAACTTCACTAGATAAATTGTAATATAAAAGTTTGGTAGATACACAAGTGGATTCAACTGGTATTATTAAAATACAGCAAGAAACCTTCAAGATTGCTCAGTAGACTTATCCAAGTTTCATAGAGATACACGAGTCCTGTTAAAAGTACTTTAAAGTATATAAATTATGAGAGATGTAAATCTCGCGAGATCACAGAATTCTCACTTGTGATATCGTGAAATGATGTCATATTTCTCGCGAGATAAATTAATTAGAAAATTTTAATGATCGGTGATTTATTTTTTTTATTGGTCATTCTAAATTTTAT